ATCATCACTACAATGAGATACATGTACTACATGTACATAATTGGACAAAAAAAATACTTTGATATTTCTCCATTTCTCTTTCTTGAGAATGCATGTAGATATTTATTTATAAAGTTTAAAAGATTTTTTAATTTCTCTGACAGGTTTTAGTACATAGTTTTTGTTGATCGGCTTAACTTTTTCCGAGAACAATTATGAGATTTGATGCTGAGAGAAACTTGATTAAATGTTTTAATTTTAGGCACAGAGCAAAAGAAAGAGTTTAATTTTTTTTTAATCTAGACTATGCTCATAATGCATGTACCATTTCTCATGGGTATTTATAATGATGTTCATCAGCTCAGACCAGTTACATGTACAATAATCTGTGTCATGGAACAAACCCTCACTGGGTCCATTATAGCAAATTATCATTTTAACTAAGAACATTCTATCTACTCAGATCTTAATCCAAGAATCTTCTGGATTAAAAACAAAATCCCCACTTTTTCATTATGTACATAATCAACACAATCAACATCGACATGTTCCGGCTAGGATCTGAAAATGGAGGGGTGCAAGAGAAGGGCACTTTTACATGACTTACAGTTGTTTCTAGCTTTTGTGTATCTCATTACTTCATCCTTATAATAATGAACTCCTTCATATATTATCAATTAATTTAACCTTATTGATTTAAAAGATACAGAAACAGTAAACACATACTCATCTATACAGCATGTAATTATGATTGTAAACATATAAAACAGAATTTTAAAGATCATCTTAGGATGAGTGTTACTTTTCTTTCTCTTTTTCAATGATTTTCTATTCTTGATTCCTATTTTCAATAAAAGCACCATAATATTCATATAAACTAGCTGGTGTCTCACATCTCACAATTTGTCACTATATGAAACTAAGGGTTTGAGCATGTTGAGAGAGTTTTAGATGAGTATATAAGATTACTCAAACATGTCACCCTAGAATGTGTTCATATTTTATTAAACGACATAGTTTTAGTAATTATGCTCATAATGCCATTCTAGTCACCAACCATGGAGCTTGGTGTTAAGATTGTATCAAGTAGATTGAGTTATGTAAGGAAAATCTCGATCATTCAGTGTCCCTAGCTTAAAAGTAGGATTTCAGCCTTCCAAGCTCGCGATCTCCTATAAACACGGTGTTTTAAACAAACATACAATGCAAAGTGGAAACACTGGATATACTCATCTCCGCTTATATAGACTTTATCTATTTGTATGGATAAAAACATGATAAACAATGTGTACCTTACTAACTAACTAAGATGAACCCGAACTGTTCTTGTGATGAAACCAGACGTTAAAAAGATGTGGCAGACAAACCACTTACTTGTATCTCTGAATATCGAAAAATGTATTACATAGAGACAAGAAGTAGTTAAATGTGCCACTTCTCTCCATTTTTTAATCAATTAATCGTAAATGATTCTGTCACCACACGAAACATAAGTTCGCGCATGCGCAATAACGGTTTAAAGAATATTCCGAACATTGAACCCGATGACTATTATGCTTGTGACCCTTGATAACTAATGCTTGGCCGTCTGTGCATTAAACAGAAAAGTTTTAATTTACACCATACTTATTACTGTTTTATTAATGACAATTTTAATATTCAAAACGATTTTTACATCAAAATCCTAAAAGTATGGATATTAGAAAGATTTTTCAAATAATCGTTTTTCAGGGAATTCGGTTTAAAAATGTAAAATTTTCTTGTTAGATGTCCGCTTCCCCATTTAATTTTTATGCCACATAACGGAAGGATCATTGGAAAATAACATGCTAATTTTTTAAAGAAATCTGTCCTCAGAATATCAAACAACATTTTTTTTTAACCGTTAATGAAGTTCATAATTTTGAGCCAAATATGTTTAATCCGCCATAAAAAGTACAATAAAGTGGATCAGCAGATTAAATCAAAAGCCTGAAAGGCTTCAATGGCGTCAAACAAGAAAAAAACAATTTCAAAAGATCTGAAGATAGCAAGAGGTCAAGTAAGTGACTCAGGTGACATCATAATAATAATAATAATAATAATAATAAAAATAAAAAAAAGTTTTAAACAAAATGTCACAATTACCGGTAGTGTGGGGCCTTTATGTCATGGTCCGAATGGAGCAGGGTTCGAATTGACCAGACACCGTCGAACATGTTCATGCTAAATATCAAACTAATTTCTTTTCAGTCAATTGAAGAACTATGAAGGATTTCATGAATTTATATATTATTCTTTCTAATTGCCAACGTCAAAGCGTTGTTCTAGTCATTGCATCTTAACTACAACCATGACTCTGCTCTGTTACAAGTACGATCGAGTTACGATAGTGCGTGGTATATTGGAGGAAATGGAGAAATACAGTAATACTGATTAACATCATCGGTTTTTTAGGATAAAGTTGGTTAGAAGATTGTAAAAGTAAAGCTAAGATTTAGAAATTCAATCTTTTCAAGCTAGTAGTATTCGTGTTTATGTAATTTTGTAATTATTTTACCGCCTGTTGGTTGTTTGTGTTACACGGTTATCATTCCAAAATGTTATTCATGTCATTCGATGCACCCTTTCTGTAGAAAATCATCTGCAACAACCATCATGTTTTTCTTGTGTGAAAATAAAACATATTATCGTTGTTTTGTAAAAGAATTAATTGTAGATACAATTAATGCAATTTTATTTTCAAGCTATTATTCATTGTGAGCGTTTTCAAAGAAATTGGTTTATAGCTATTGCTATTTTCTATTGCGGTTGCATCCACTGACACATTGGGTCGCGTACATCCGGTGGCGATTTCACCTGGCCGATCGCTAGATGACGTTCAAGCTCCAAGAGCTTGACGCCATAAAAATTAACAAAACCATTAAACAAGCGTATCTTCTCTATAATTCACATGTTTAAGTTTTTCATTTACATTTAATTTTAGAAAGCTAGTATAAATATCTTAATTACTGCATTTCTGTAATTTCACGAGGCAATGTCTATTTTTAGTAACAGTCCTTGCAAAAGGAGGTCTGGTTGACCTCAAAATTTACACAGATTTGGAAAGGACACATACTTAGTTAAAATTCTGAGAAGTTTCATAGAAATCTGTAGCTTCGTTATTTTTATAACATGGTATGGATCTTTACCTTAAATCCACATTTCAGCGAATGTAAACATCATTCAGAATTGACCTTAACTTCAAAACAAACTTCATTTGCAGACAGAAGTGTTAATTAATCTCAATTTGACAGAAACAGATAATGCTTTGGATTTTCTTCAAGAGGAAAGTTAATTAATCCCATGGGACTAGTTGCAGCTTTCATAGTTTACAATAGGAACATTCTCAGAAGTTATCTCTCTTTGCCCTGGCATTTATTCTAATGTAAAGTTAAGGAATCTACCCCACCACCCCAGCTCCAAACTGGATGACATACAGAACCAAACTTAGATCCAAAATATGTCTTACTGCCTCTTCAACCAACATACCAAATCTGAACTTAATTGGTCAACTACAAAAAAAAGTTATTAGAAAAAAAACAGAAAATTTGTGGACGGAAGAATGACAGACAGACAGACAGAGCGATTACTATAAGGCACCCACAAATCCTTGCGGGCCCTAAATAGAACAGCACGTTCAGTTTTCTAAATGAGATTTTTTTGTGATTATGGCAATTTTTTATTAACAAAAGACTGAGGAAATATGACAATCAATTAAATTCAAATTACTAGCTGAAATTTTTAGGCAAATCATTACTTACAATGTATCAGAAGATGAAATATTCTATAATGAAAACTTAGCAATATTACATATGTTTCTCTCTTAGCAGACATTCCCTAACTAGAACTGTCCAAAAGGGACAAATACCCCCCGCTGGGTTTTTCAGAGGTGCCAAATCACTAATATTTTATGGATCTAAGAGGTGTTCACAATTTTCTTATTAACATTTAGAGTGAAAAAATAATTGCTCATTATATTTTTTTTAATGAATGAAACCAAGGAACAACCTAATAAAACATCAATACCAATACATTGTAATTACATTGTTTTTTAATACATTGAAAAAATAAATTGCAACTGTCATCTTTTTGAGTCATGACATTCTGCAAATTGATTGTTGAAAAAAAATTAATTAATTACAAAATCAAATTAATCTTGATAACTTTATATCAAATTCATTTTAAAAATGAAAAGCTGGTCATCCAGTAACTATGTACTATGACAAACAATAAATTACAATTAAGAGAATTAAAGAACAGAGATCTTTAAATTCCCACAAGATATAGATAACACATGCTTGATCAGAGATGCCCTAACAACTTCCCACACTGAACTCATTAATCTATCTCTAATTGGATGATGTCCACTCATCACTCCCAAGGGACAAATGGATTTACACTATCTGCTGTGTAATGTAAAAATTGTTTTTAATACTTGGTGATTTTTTTTTGGTTTTAATGAATAGTTTTAAGCTGTAGTTCACATTTTTGTTCAGATGTTCTAGATTCTGTGTCTCAAACCTTAGAAATAAACCCAAAATGAGTAAGTCATTAAAAAAAAAAAAAAAAACCCTGTAAAATGCAGAAAAATTATCAAATAATGTTGAAAATACCAGGTGCACACCTTCATATGGTGAATAATAAGTGTACAAATTTTCAGACAAATCTATGCCAAAGTCTACAGACAGACGGACATGGTGATTCCAATATACCCACCCTAAACTTCGTTTGCGGGGGGTATAATAAGTTTTCCTTTACAGGATATTACCATTTTGTTCCAAGACAGTACAAAATATGTCTAGTGATGAGATCTAAACTTACAGAGACTAGACCTGGTGCTGATGGGTCATACCTACACAGACAAGACCTGGTGCTGATGGGTCATACTTACACAGACAGACAAGACCTGGTGCTGATAGCTCATACTTACACAGACAAGACCTGGTGCTGATAGCTCATACTTACACAGACAAGACCTGGTGCTGATGGGTCATACTTACACAGACGAGACCTGGTGCTGATGGATCATGAAGTCTAGCCACTACTTTCTCAGAATCCACATCAATGATGTCAATAGTGCGGAGTTCGTTTTCATGGTAACCACTAAAATTAGGGTCAGGATATCTTCCAATTACTGCCAGGTCTAGTAGAGGATGCCAGGTTGCCTAGATGGAAAAAGAAACACAATTTTCTGGTGTGAATAATTGGCCAAACTTAGTGTGACTCATGGAGCACTATCTTTTGCAAAGCCGACATTTTTCTTTGTGGGAATAATGTGTTGAATAAATCCAAAATTTTCTTAGTTAAAAAACACCTTCCTTTGTGTCTAACACAGCTTAGTTTCAATGAAATTCCAACATACACTTATTTTGTTGAATATAATTTTTGTGGTTTCACTGATCTGTGGGGCTTTGATATCATGGTTAGACAAACATAACGTTTAAATATAAAATTGTAACATTTCATGGAGAACATGAATTTATGGGTCTTTATATAAATTTATAATTAAACCCCATGAAAAATGGTGATTTCACAGCAACATAGAAGAAGTGTTTTCTACAAAGAGAGAGCTTTTATGGAAGTATTAATGTTTAGCAAAGCTTACTTCTATGGGAGGTATACTTAAGTTTTCAATTCAACCCATCTCGCTTAGAGAGAAACCTTTATTTGATATAATGTTAATTGAAGCAATGCATTTCACAAAGCTTAAATTGCTTTCATTATGTTTCAACAATCAGGGTCTTTACTTGAGTAACATTTGAACAAAACCAATTTCATGAGAATAAAAATTCAACAAACCCTACCTTTATAGGTGTTATGTGTTGGAAAAAGCGATGAGGATGTAAAATGGTTTTCTCTAGCTGCCACTCAGGAGCCAAGTACACCCGTACTTGACTGTTCTGATCTGTGGTTAATAACCGGCATCCATTGGTGCGACTGAAATGAGCTGAAACAGAAATGTTTCCCATTATAAAATTCCTCAAAGAAAATTAAATGTTAAGACATTCAATATTCTCTAATTGCAAATGACTTCCAAAAAGGTTATTTTATACTATAAACTAAGCAAAACTCAAGTAGAATACACGAATTACCTGAATTGACTGGCTTGTCATGCTTGAGAGTATAGAGGGAGCTTTTGCGATCTTTAATCATTCTAACATCCCACATCTGAACAGTTTGATCAGTAGAGGCTGTGCATAACATCCATTCTTCCAAAGGTGAGAACTCACAATGGGTGATTTTGTTCTTGTGAAGGCGAAATTCAAAAGTCTGAAATGAAAAAAATTATGACTTATAAGTTGAATAAAAAGTTCTATCCAACTCTGATCAAGAATTTTGTTTATACCAAGCACATAGCAAATCATGGCAGATTAGGGGTGCAACGATACACCAACCTCACGATACAATACATATCACGGTATTCAGTTCATTATATGATACATATCATGATACATGACAAGGTTAAGAAGTCTTAACTTGACAGGTTTATATCAAATGTTCATATTTTTTTTTAATTATAATCAAAATTTGTTAACTTGAATAGGATGGATAGGTAGATCTTTGAGTTGTGACAATATTCTAAACCAAAGACGAGCATTTACAGGGAACTATGGGAATCTTTTCTCATAATCTTCCTTTTAAACTGGAATGAAAAAGGAAGACATTCATTCTTTTATTTCTTTCATTTAACATTTAACATGTTTTGGTCAACAAGACAGCGAATTTTCATTGAAATACACGCGTGATGAGATATTGTGTATTACAATAGAATACGTTTAGATCTAAAGGGTTTATCATTTGTATTAATATCTATAACTTTTAATCACATTAGGAATGAGAAAAAGTCCTTCACCGTGTTAAATCTGAGGTTTGTAAGATGCTGGAGATGAGTTTAACTGCTGATATGATAGATAAAGCGCTATCGTTGACCTCATGTTTTTGCGCGGAAGCCATTTTGAAATTGTAAACAAGAACACAAAATGGACGATTCAGATAATTCTGGACCGATTTAACCGAACTGCGATATCAGTTTAGCGTATCGTGAATTGAACCGTGGATAAATATACCGCGATATACTGTCAAACGGTTTTGCACTCTTATGGCAGATTTCAAAAATGTTCAAAATTCTGTCAACAATCTAACCAACACATGAACAGGTGATAAATTTTGTTCAGAAAATGTGATTTGGGCCTTTATTTATTCACTGTAAGCATCAATCAATTTATTACCAATATCTGAAACATGTGATGTGACTTCAAAATAGATAGTTCAGTTCTTCTGCATAGTGTTTCACAGAAATTCTTTCTTGAAATGTACAAACTGATTTATTTTGACCTTAATGAGAGCTACAATTATGCAATGATAAAAACGCATTGCCATACCTGTTTGCCCTCGTACGTGAGAAACTGAAGTTTTCCTACATTGTCACCTGCTGCAACAAACTTTCTGACTGGGTGTACATCCACACTGCAGTACCAAAAGCTGACAATGTAAAATCAAACAGTTAGGATTCAAATATTGATATTTAAATCAATTTTGTTTGATTTTTTTAACACTTCTTTTGTTGCTATGGAAGAATGGAAAACAAATAAGTTTAACATGTAAATTAGTATCAGCTGCACTCAACTACATGTAATTACCTGTCTGCTATTTGATCTCCAATTTCTTTTTTAACTTACTCATAAAAATTCAATGTGTCTGCTAAAACTGAGGAAAGTTTTCCATTTAAGTCATGAAGAGTGACAGTTCCATCGAGACCAGCTGAGACTACTTTACAGTCATCTTGAGGCCAGAATTTCATAGTTTGAATGTTTCCACCAGAACCTTTCTTTAATGGTAAAGTCAGATTTAATTTTATCATATTTTTCAAATGCAAGGTATCCTGCCAGCTATAAACTCCACAAGTACTCTACTTGAAATTCAAAAAAAAAAAATCTAAATGTAAATTTTTGGAGCTTAAGAAGTCCCAAGTGGTCCCCATACTCTGGCAGACTACCTACACGTCCATTTAAATCTCAAATGACCAGAAATTTACAGCACTTCTAGATTTCTCCTCAGAAAAGTGGAACAAAATTTAGCATAAACTTCTGATCATTTTATTTGATTTCAGAGTAACACTCACTCATGTACATTAAGGGTGTCTGCCAAAACCTGAGTGTTTTTGCCCTCTAAGTCATTCAAAGTAATTGTGCCATCCACAGCTGCAGTGAGAATCTTGTTATAATCATGAGGCCAAAATTTGATGGCATTAATGATCCCTCCAGGTCCCATCTACAGTTCAATACCAGTCACAGTTAAAATATTTATTGTAGCCATTGCTTTCCTTTCTATTATAATAGGAAGCAGAGTGTACATCTAGAAGGGTGTCACTTTCTGAACACATCTGTCCATTCGTATATTTCCCCTTTCTTTCCCAAATACATAATGCACCACTATTTATAAATTACAAAATGTATCCTAATAACTTTTCTTATATAAATTTTCTGAATGACACCAATTAAAAAATGGTTCTTACATGTATCTGGTATATATTTATATTAATTTCATTGGCTCAGTTTAAACTTACTAAAACGAGTATCTTATCTGAGTGATTTGGCCTACTGACCTGTTCTTGAGAAATTTAAAGAAAAAAAAGTCCTCTGTTTATTTCCAAGTTGAACTTTGATCCCCTATTATTTGTGGCCATACCTTTCCATCAGTTCAATGACTTGACCATTCTTGAATCTATGATGCATGAGGATGACTGTATACCAATATGGCTCATTGTAGCCCATTGTGAAACTTTGACCCCCTCTGTGGCCCCATCCTAGCCCTAAGGCTGAGACTTACTTACTTAGTCCTCTTCGTGCTGGTCAGCACATAAGGCCGTCACCAGAGACTTCCATGTTGGTCTATCTTGTGTCCATCTCTGGACCTGTCCCCATGTCCACTTGTTTTCTTTTATTTCTTTCGTTCAGCCTAAGGCTGAGAGGCATTTATAAAAATAATCACATTATTTTTTTTATAAAACTTACCCCTTGAATGAATTTCTGGTTTTTAGTATTATAGGTGTCCCACAACATAATGTCCCCTCCCTTGGACCCAACAACCACCACATCTGGGTTGGTGGGGTGCCACTCCATAGCAGTAACTCTGCGATCAAAGGGACTAATCATTGTGGAGATCTGCATGTCTGACAGCATATCTATCATACATTTTGTGGCACTCTGAAAAGTTATTTAGAAAATTAATATTCACACTTTTCACAAACATGGTTCAATGAATATTATTGCAAACCACAGGTTGAAGCCCACTTTCTGTCATACAAAGTCAAAGCTGCATCAGAAATCAAATGTTGATTGTAATCATTGTACCACATACATGTATGGAAAACCATGGCTTGCAAAAATGATATATTTTTAATAAAATGTAAACAAAAATCTCAAAGATGTGTTTGAATACAAACTTGATAAAGACTTCTTTTCTGAACACCCATGGAATATCCGTGTAGTTGAGATGTCAGATTGTTGGTTTTCAAATAGGAAGGTGTTGCTACTTTGACTGTATAAGGAGCTGTCCTGGGTTTAAGTCCTAATATTAAATCAGAACTATCAGCTCTGTTATTGTTGTTACTAAATGCTTCCTCTGCGGGTTTCCCTTTCTTTGCCTGTAAAATAAAAAAAAAAATTATGAAAATTATAATATGTTGACAATGGACCATTGAGGGCAAGCGCAGTTGTGTATTCATTACTGGATACCTATTTATTTGTAACTTAGATCTGCTCCTTCAACTCGACATTTGGAACATCTACACTGTGACATCACACAATGTTCAGGTTAAGTTGCATTTCCATGAAGTAGTCTTCAAAGTGCAACTAAAAACATTTAATCTACAATCTAATCTGCAATTTCCACTAAAAGTACAGTTATTTTCTTTTTTAGTGAACTTTGCACAGAGATTACTACGAAAAAAAGTCATTTGGATCAATGTGCACATTATGAATTTTCTCAAATCAGTCAGATGTTGCTTTTAGAGTTTGCAGTACACTGTGCTCACTATTAAGGCTAGACCTACTCTATATTTCATAAAAATTCTATTGATCAATTATTTAAATGATAGAAAGAATAAAAGGACACAAGTATATATCCTCAGAGGTCCAAGAGTCATAACCCTAATTTGATCATGTCTATTTTATAAATAAATTTGAAAAACTATATCTTTTTGTAAGTCATACCTTAGTTATAAATATTTTTTCTTTCATAGAACTGATTGTTTAGAAAAATCATGCCTTTATTAAGATTGTTTACAGTTAGTTCAAAGTACTGATGTTTACCTGGTGCCATTTCAAAAAACAGGTTGTATAGTCATCACCTCAGTGGAAATGAAATTATAAAGGCCAAAAATTCCAATTTGGATATGTGACTTCTGTTGACAAAATGTAAACATGGTATGCAGTAACACCAATACATTTTTTTGTATTTGTGGATTTTTCTTTAATTACTACATTTAATTTTTTTATCTGTTTTGACCTATTATTATCTGCATAACTGCATTTGTATAAAAATGACAATGTAATTTTTTCTAACAGGGTTTGGTGCAGCAGCGGACACAACCTTGCAAGGTACTTGAGGAAAATCAAGAGGGAACAACTCTATGACGAATTTAAGGCCTCTGATGATACTGAATGCTATGTAAATATAAGTGGCTCCTGCTTAGCTGTGGAATTTCTCTTGATTTCGAATAGTTGAATCATAAATACAACTACAATTTTTTTCAATGCATTTATCTCTGGTATTTTAATCTATTACAACGACAAATCTGTAAGGAGTTCATGTTTTCACCATGTTCACTGCTCATACCAGTTATGAGTGATGACTTTGCACATATATATAAACAGGTTCGGACCAATCGCCCAAATGGGATATAATAGCTCGTTTGGGATATAATATCTCAAATGGGTTATAAATTTACAGAGCAAAAAATGAAAATTTTTATTTTGGCTGTAAATATCATAAATCCGCATCAACATACATATAAAGGAATAACTTTTGGTTTACAAGTTTTTCTGTATGCCCACTGTTTAGGAGATTGATCCCTCGGAAGTTCCTAAACTTCTTGGGGATCAATCTAACACACTGTAGGGTTGCAGAAAAACTTGTATGCCAAAAGTTATTCCTTTTTAAGAATTCTGATGCGGATTTATGATATTTATAGCAAAAATAAAAAATTTTACTTTTTGCACTGTGAATTTATATCCCATTTGGGATATTATATCCCAAACGGGCTATTATATCCCATTTGGGCGATTGTTCCCAACCTGAAAAAATATACAAGTTTTGAAGATTTATCAAGATCTAGAAATTAATTTTACTGTGTTCATAAAGTACCTGATCTCTTTTCCTCTTCAATTTTTGGGCATAAGTCTCGTCAGTACTATCTTTAACAGCCTTCAGTTTCTTCGAACTTATTCCTACGTTTCCCAACTGTTCATCCTTTCTTTTTCTCGGCATCTCGATCCCTTTGAAAGTATGGAATTTGTAACTTAAGTGCACAGAAATGTATTTATCAAAGCAAATATTAGGAAATTACTGATTAAGGGCCTAGTCTACATAAAAATATAATAATAATTGCGTAAACCTCTTTCCTTTCGTTGGTTATGTAAAAATTTCGCGGGAGAATCATACTAACAAAACCATAGACGTTGTACATTTCCGTCAATAAGAATTCATTTTAAAAAAATACAGCAATTTTTAGTTTCAGATATGTTCACACTTTACAAAATATGTGACAAACCCTCAGGTATAATTTTTGCATTCACTCAAAAATATTTTTTTTAGAAAAAATAATTTTACGGAACATTCATATTTTTAAATATAGGCTCTATAATTACTCTGAGTGTGCAAGGTCAAGGCCAAAAAAGAAAAGGAAGGTCATTTAAGGAAAGCCGGCTGTCAAATCATTTTAAACCACAATCATGTCACAGCAAAGGAAATTTTTTGTTGGAGGAAACTGGAAGATGAACGGGAGTAAAGAGAGTATCGCTGGCATCGCGAAGTTTTTAAATGCTGGACCACTGGATCCAAATACAGGTGCAAAGATGCACGTGCATACATGCATATACGTTTTCATTTTGTGCACGGTTCTGATAGTGTTTTAAGTTTAATTGCCATTTACAGGCTATTCCATTCTTTTTCACTTTCATTATGTTGAAGAGTATTGATCGATAGTCGGCATGTATCCAGTTTTTTGTGATTTGATTTGATTTGAACATATTTTATTTCTGACAAGCACAATCTCTTGATTTAGCTATAATGTTATAGCTTGAAATAGCTATATAGCTTTATTAACCTATTCAAAATAGCTCGGTAAAGCTATTTATATACAGTTTTTCACGAAATTATTTATTGTAAGAACTAGACAAAAAGTCACAAGTATTTGTCTATTCAGATGTACGTGTACTATATGGGCTATCAAAAAAGCAACCCAAATCAAAGATAGTTCTATAGTTCTAACATTGCATCTTTTGAATACTTTTAAGCAAAATATGAATTTCCATTGTTTGGATAACTGTAGACTTGTGTGTATTGAGACATGGACAAGTGTGATAGCTTCTCATTGTGCTGAATTATTACCAATCAATTATCTTGTTAACCATAATTTAGCTCCTTTAAAATTTCATTCAAGAAGTAGCTGTATGGTCACAAATCAATTGTTTTATGTAGCCCCAAAGGTTATAGAACTTTGAGTACAAAGTCTTTCCAGGAGAGGCAATTTTATGAGTGATTTTTATATGCATTGTTTTCAGAAAAGTTCAAGGTTGAATATTATCACTGCACCAAGGTGCAACTTTTTGTACATGCTGAAAATATAACACATTTAAAAAAGAAAATTTGCTAGACGAATGTACAGATTTTAGTTTGAATTTCCTCTATTCTTACACATTAGTCAATAGAGCTCGCTGTACTTGCTATAAAATGACATTAAGTGAAAATCACTTTGCTCTAAATGTGTTTGGTGCTGAACCCATGTTTTACTGTAGTTGCAATGTATAAAACAGCATGGATCCACTTTGGCATAATTTAAAAGAATGTTTGTTTGTTTGTTTATTGTTTAACATCCCTCTCAAGAATGCAAATAGACATAACATAACACCACCATATTATTTATTTTTATACAATGTATTACCAATTCGAATGAACAGATATATAACCAACCCTTCTGAGCATGTTACAAACCCTTTTGAGCTTGTTTTTACCTTCCACTCTAAAGATTAATCCATATAACGGAAATACATTGTATTAAGTTTTGTGCCAGTTTTTATCATTTTACTTCACATTGTATTTGATGCTGAAAATACTCATATTGAGAGAATTTGAGAATTATATTCACATTCTCATCAACTGTTCCACTATACCACAGTAGTATACTAAGCATTCAAAAGGTTAATTGAAGTTTCAGTCAAATTGACACTTCCCTGCTATAAATTTATTTTGTTAATTTAAACACACTTCATATAAGTGCTGTGAAAACCTTTCTGAGATTTGAAGATGCCGTGATTGGAATATATATTTATTTCTTTACATTTTTAGTTTTGGTACTTTCCGCGAATCTTTGTATCTTAAGAAAACTGGTTTTTCATGAACGAGAGCTTTCGTGCTCAGTATAAATACATTTAAAGGAGAATGTTCAATTAGTGCTACATTCGTTATAATGAATCACAGATTGTTTTGTTTCTTTGGCTTTCTCTGCCTGCCCAACCCTTTCATTGTTTATTTTGTAAAATTTATACATTTAGTTTGTGTTATATTTAGGAATGGCAACGAATATTCGAACATTCGAATATTCATTCGATGAGTTGATATTCGAATATGAATTTAAGATTCGAATATTCGGTATTTTTCAGGTTTCATAAAAAAGTACTGTGATTAATAAATTTTGGTTAGAACAGTGCTGGAATTAACCCTGTTTAATTTACTATCAATTTCGATCGCCTGATTTCTTCCACTACTTTCTTATCTTATAGATCTACTAAATTACATGTACTTTGTTTTGAGTAAGGTGTTAATGAATTGTACAATAATGCTTTATGTATAATACAAAACATACTTTCATAGTTTTCATAAGTTTAATACGATCGGATCTAGAATAGAGGACAACAAAATGAAAACCTTCTTCGAATGTCTAAAAAGTGAAGAGTATACATACTTATCTAAACAAATTTAATTGATCATTAAATGAATGTCTGATATAGAATTAGTCTGTAATTAATATTGTAAAGGGCTCAATTTCAGAATGAATGTGTAAATTACTTGATTATCTCGGGTTGTACAAAATCCTGCATTTTATGTTCATTATCGGTAAATTACTTAATTACCTGGGAAAATTGTCTATGGAAATATTTGATTATAATTTAAAAACATTGTATCAAAGATTCTAATCATATCTCTTATTAGGCAGATAATTGTAATTTATTACACGTGTTGAAATCTGAACAGTATATCGTTACGACTTTCTTGCCTTTGGTAAGACGACTGGTTCCTCAGTTGGAACTACTATATATACACGTTTCATTTGTTAAAATTATACCTTTCTACATTTAAATCAATTATTTATTTCAAATATTGACAAATATCAAATGGAATTTTATTGTACACCTACAAAAGTCTACATACAATTTTACCTCCAATATAATTATACCTACGCTAAACCTTTCATGAAAGTAGGATGATGCATATTTAAAATAAAACAGATTTTATTTATTTTATCGAATATTCGAATATATTCGAATACTTTCAATGAATATTCGAATATGAATTATTGACAAAATTGACATCCCTAGTTATATTGAATAAAAATGTGATTTTTATCGCAACAATCCTATAAAATATTCTTTTTCTTTGTTTTTCAATAAATTAGTCAAGAAAATATTTACATTTGGAGGAGTGAAATGATGGAGAAAATAAGTATAATTTCAGTTTGAAGTGGCAAGGAAAAAAGTTTTTATCATTTTATTATATTTTGAATAGACATATGCTGCAAAAGAGATAAACCAAAAGGTTTATGGTACAATGTAAATGCTTATTTATAGTTCTGTGCAATATGCAAAATGTTTGCGAATCTTGAATTTGAATAAAACAGGTATAAAAATTTTGAACCTTCATGTTACAGAGGTGGTTGTTGCCCCACCAGCATGTTACTTGGAATACACCAGACAGGTTGTGGATTCTAAACTTGGAGTGGCAGCTCAGAACTGTTATAAAGTGGCAAGTGGTGCTTTTACAGGGGATATCAGGTATGGAGATGACGTCTACAATCAGGGTTCTTTCTCCTTCTGGGCTGTGTTTAAGATCGTATCAGCTATGTAGTGCTAGAAAGCACTGCAACATCTAGCCAAGCACTTTGTAGGGATGATAAGCATAAATTCATACAGTTCATTTAGCCTTGCAGGTAGGCTAGCTGCATCGTCGGAAACCCACGGTCGGTCTCGCTTCTCTTATCATAAGAGAAGCGAGACCGACCGTGGATTTCCGACGATGGGCTAGCTGCTACGATCTTGAATGCAGCCCTGCTTGTGTGATTTTTAAGTTTATTAGCTCACCTGAGCTGAAAGCTCAAGTGAGCTTTTCTGATCACCCGTTGTCCGTCGTCCGTCCGTCTGTCCGTCCGTCCGTCTGTCCGTCCGTCTGTAAACTTTTCACATTTTCAACTTCTTCTCAAGAACCACTGGGCCAATTTTAACCAAACTTGGTACAAAGTATCCCTGGGTGAAGGGGAGTTTAAATTGTTAAGATAAAGGGCCAAGTCTCCTTACAAGGGGAGATAATCAAGAAAAGACAAAAATAGGGTGGGGTCATTAAAAAATCTTCTCAAGAACCACTGGGCCAGAAAAGCTGAAACTTATGTGGAAGCATCCTGGGGTAGTGTAGATTTTAAATTGTTAAAATCATGACCCCCGGGGGTAGGGCAGGGCCACAATAGGGAATCCAAGTTTTACATTGACATATACAGGAATAAATCTTTAAAAATCTTCTTCTCAAGAACCACTGGACCAGAAAAGCTGAAACTTATGTGGAAGCATTCTTGGGTAGTGTAGATTCTAAATTGTTAAAATCATGACCCTCGGGGGTAGGGCGGGGCCACAATAGGGAATCCAAGTTTTACATTGAAATATATAGGAAAAATCTTGAAAAATCTTCTTCTCAAGAACCACTGGGCCAGAAAAGCTGAAACTTATGTGGAAGCATCCTTGGGTAGTGTAAATTCTAAATTGTTAAAATCATGACCCCCGGGGGTAGGGCGAGGCCACAATAGGGAATCCAAGTTTTACATTGAAATATATAGGAAAAATCTTGAAAAATCTTCTTCTCAAGAACCACTGGACCAGAAAAGCTGAAACTTATGTGGAAGCATCCTTGGGTAGTGTAGATTCTAAATTGTTCAAGGACCCCCCGGGGTAGGGCGGGGCCACAATAGGTATTACAAGGAGGGGGGGGGGGAATCTGGTAAAGAACAGCATGGCCAAAGTTACTCAGGTGAGCAATGTGGCCCATGGGCCTCTTGTTGAAAAATGTTTTTGAAAATTTGTATTATTCATCATATCTTCTTAGTTTATGCTTCAAAACATGGTTGACATCTTTATTATAAAATTTTTTTTCAATAGTGCCAATATGATTAAAGACCTTGGATGTGAATGGGTTATTCTGGGACATTCAGAGAGGAGAAATGTTTTTGGAGAATCTGATCAGGTACTGCTTACTGTAACAATTTATAGGCTGGACTGACTCTCGTGTTTGAATCCTAGAATTTATACGTAATGTTTCATGGCATTCTCATGTCCAAGAAATTTAATCCAGCTCAGTCTGAGATGAATATGTTCTATTTCCACCATAGAAGAGTTATAAATCTTATTGCGCTCTTATGTGAAAAAGTTGGAAAATGTACAAATCTCGCGGGATTTCAGGGACAATCAAAATTTTTGTGTTGAGTATTCTTTAGATTCATGTGAAAGAGCAAAGGAATTCAACTGGGAATGAGTTAACAGATACATGTAGGTGTTTTTACTGGTTTTTAATATAAACAGACTAAAAGCTTATTGTAATTTTTCAGCTGATTGGTGAGAAAACAAAGTACGCACTCAGTCAGGGTGTGAAGGTGATTGCCTGTATTGGGGAAAAGCTTGAGGAGAGAGAAGGTGGAAAAACCGAGGAAGTGGTTTTCAGACAAACTCAAGCCATTATTGGTATGTAAAGGGGACACCCTCCCTAAATATGATTAGTAAACGTTAAGTAAATTACTTTAAGATGAATAAAATAACGGATTAGACAAAGAACTGCTCTTTCCTTGCAGAAAATATATCGGCAGACCAGTGGGTTAATGTAGTGATAGCTTATGAACCAGTGTGGGCCATTGGGACAGGGAAAACGGCAACACCAGAACAAGCTCAGGAAGTTCATGAAAAATTACGAGCCTGGTTAGCAGAAAAGGTGTCAAAAGAAGTAGCAGCTGCTGTTCGAATTATCTATGGTGGTAAGTAATGCCAAATAAGTAGAGATGTTTTCCAAAGTGAATTGCATATTATTTGTACTTCTGTATACCTTTTCAAAATTTTTCAAGTACTTTGGATATTGATCATCCCTCTTTAAAGAGGCAAACATGAAACACAAGAATAAAAGAAAGTGTAAACAATAAGGGATACTAACAGAGTTTTTATTTTCAGGATCTGTTAATGCCGCTAACTGCAAAGACTTAGCTTCTAAACCTGACATTGATGGCTTTTTAGTTGGAGGGGCTTCCCTTAAGCCAGATTTTGTACAGATTGTCAATGCCAGACAAAAGTGAGAGCCATGCCATATTGTTTAGGAAGTTTTATAGCAGAAAGTTATTTAATAAGTTTAGCAGGTTTTGCCCTCATTTCATTGTTAGATTCTATGAAACAGCACTGTTACAGACTTATCACTTTTCTGATTTCCTGTTATTGATATAGAAGTGCTACAGAAGTGCTACTGTTTTGTGTTACTTTCTTGTGTCAATACTGAAGTAGAAGTATTGTTTAATTATGGCTACTGGTGAGTACAGGTGTATTTGTTTCAAGTGTATACTTATTTTTAATTGTAAACCCACAATGCTTTTAACAAGAAATAAATATCAAGCAAGCAAAATTTGTTATTTGTCAAGTTAGCAAACTTGTTTCCAAGTTCTCTTTTATGTAAGTGACAAAATGAGCAGTCTCACTTGGTAATGTTATAGACGTGTGAAATATTATCAATTTACAGGTATACCTGGCATATATATATATATATATATATATATATATATATATATATATATATATATATATATATACATGTATATATATACATGTATATATATATATATATATATATATATATATATATATATATATATATATATATATATATATATATACTACTATTTTTAGCTCACCTGAGCTGAAAGCTAAAGTGAGCTTTCTAAGCACATGTTGTTTGGCTTCCATCCTTCCATCTGTCTGTCCATCTGTGTGTCTGTAACCTTTTCACATTTTTGACTTCTTCTCAATAACCACTGGGCCAATTTTAACCAAAGTTGGCACAAAGTACCCTTGAATAAAGGGAATTCTAAATTGTTCAATTGAAGGGCCAAACACCTTTCCAAAAGGAGACAATCAAGAAAAGGCATAAGTAGGGTGGGTTCATTAAAAAAATCTTCTTTTCAAGAACCACTAGGCCAGAAAAAAGTTAAACTTTTGTGGAAGTTTCCAAGGTTGTTCAAATTATGACTCCCGTGGGCAAGGTGGGGCAATAATAGGAGATGAAATTTTTCATTGACATATATTAGAATAATCTTTGAAAATCTTCTAAAGAACCACTTGGATAAAAAAGATGAAACTTATGTGGAAGCTTTCTAAGGAAATGTTGATTCTAAATTGTTTAAATCATAACCCCCCTGGAGTAAGGTGGGACCACAAAAGGGGCTGAAAGTTTTAAATTTTAGAAATGATGAAACTTACATGAAAGCTTCCAGACATGATCAGAAGTAAATTCTTATTTGTTCAAATCATGGCCCACGGGGGTAGGGTGAGGCCACAATAGGGGATCAAAGAACTATGAAGAATTTTTAAAAAAAAATCTTTTTCAAATTATGGATCACTGGTTAGAGTTGGCTAAAACGAGGACAAGATTTTACATTATGCATGTATACAGGAAAAGAATTTTCTTCTCTACTACTGCAAGGCCATGTTAGTCATATTGAAATTGAAGTATCCCCATGGTTTATAGATTCAGAGACTCTTAGAGTTAGGGTGGGGCCATAATATTGGGTATTCTAACAATTTTTCATGTAAAATTTAAAAAAAAAAATTTAAAATCTAAAGAACAACGGGGCTAAATTAACTCTGGTGAGCATTGTGGCCCATGGGCCTCTTGTCAGAATTTGAAGGCATCAATGTCGGAGAAATGGTAAATTTGTCATGGAATCAGATTGTTTTGAGTGATGTTTATTAATTAACCATTAAAATAGAATTATAAAACTTAAGAGACAGAAGTAAGGTGATTAGTAAGATTTGGATAAACAATATGTTAAGAAGGAGCCTTGACTACCAAGTACATGGCTACATACGTACATGTAAGAACCTGTGATTATGTTATGAATCCACGAATAACATACTGTCCACTGGTTGGGTAAGAAACGTGGGGGGCATCCCCCTTGAAATTGCCAAATATAAGGTTACATGTCTATAAATATACAGGAAAAATTGTCATGATATGAAAATATGCATATCAAAATACATTGAAAAAGATAAATTTATAAAATACAAGATTTGACACTCTTGCAAAAGCAACATTACGTAGATTTTACTTTTCAAAGGCTAATTGTAAGATTAAATTTTACTCCTAAAATCACTAAAATTCAGGAGCTTCCAGGGGCTTCAACAACAGGGCCGAGGTGACTCTAGCTGCAAGTCTGTAGCTCGCTGGTCTGAAAAAAATTGGGATGGACGACCTGTCAATTTATTTTTCGGAGAGCTACAATTCTGCAGCTAAGGTGACTCCGGTGAGCGTTGTAGCCCATGGGCCTCTTATGAATCTGGATTTTGCATGTGTACATATGAAGCTGTTTAAAGCTATTCGACGATTCAAGGCGGATACTATTTCAAGGCAAAGTATAAAATCTATAGAAGAAAAAAAATATTCATATATCGTTTACTTTCGATCCACACTTTAGGTGGTCATGCCATTTCACTTCTTATTCTGAGACCATCCATTAAATGCATTGTATTTTAAAAATTTAAATGGTGAACCAAGGTCTCCCAACCTACGGAGCGTACATGATTTACAATGTCTCTATTCTGCTCTTGAAATGATTAGGAGGAACACAATCTCAAAACATTAATGGAAACCGAAATTATTGTGGCATAAATTGATTTTCTTTTGACTGAATCAGGGCACTTTTAAAAAAACTCTTCTAGGAAACTTCCGTATACATTCGATAGATATGGAAACTGTCAAAACAAGACCTAAAGGTATTGGAAATTTGTAAAATAATGAAATAAGCTGATTGCAGATCTGTGGGCGGATTTCTTCTAAAAAGCTTTTGTTAGACAGGAAAAAAAGAACTTGTGGTGTTTTGTGCGTCTATGCAGATCTAACACGTCCAAATTCAGTTGTGTCAATCATAAATTTTCTTGTCCAAAAAAAAAAAAAAAAAATTAATGTTTTTAAAGTGCTGGATTTGCAAAAAAGTGTTTTATTTCAAAGAATAAAGGAAAAAAAATCATTATGAAATATAATATTATATGCTATTTTAAAACATAAGAGTATCAAGAAACTCTCAGAAAACTCGTTCACGAACTGACGATATGCATAGAAATAGCATCTTTGTTGGTCAAATAATTATAATTTAGCCAATATTTTTCATAAATTCAAATTGCAGAAGTAAAATATGAAAAATATTGTATTTTTTAAAGAAAGTTTCCAGATTAATGCTAATTAAAGGGAAAAAAAATATAATATCTCATTGTCCCAAGAGGTACAGTGAATTACGTTACGAAATTCTATTGCCATGAAACCCTATAACCCTCATTCTTTGTTGAAAATATATTGTTTTGTAATAAAAAAAAAAAAGTATGTATTTTCTGTCTTCTACAAATGTAAAAATTTAAAAATCTCATTATAGAGTCTTATAGAATTCATTTTATGTGACCTACGATATCATATCTTGTCTACTTTTAATACAACACCCACATGTATATAGAATTCAAATCATTCATTTGAAAAAAAAATGCCCTTAATTTAATTTATCAAAATGATTTCAAATTGCTGTATTTTTTTTTTCAAGGGCCAAACAATCACCTGTTTTGTGAAGTACGTTAGAGTGATTTACATTTCCTTCGTTTGTATCTAGGACCGAATTTTTCTGTTAACCGATTAATATGTAATAATATCTTTCATCCCAATTTTTTTTCATCAGAAGTTGACAAACAGAAAGCTTCCGAATTCATACCTACTATAATGATGAATGAAATATATTTGCTCTTCTAGATGGTTTCAATACAGTGACTGGTTTTTAAAGATTTTATTCAGGCCCGTAGCAACGGTTTCAAAATGTTGGGGGGGGGGGGCAACTTCCCCAAAAACCCGACAAGCAAAAAACAAAAAAAAAAAAAAAAAAAAAAAAACAGAAAGCAAAAACAAACAAACAAAAAAAAAAAACCTAAACTGTCCAAAAGTGTGGGGGGGGGGGCTTTCCAAAATTATCTGTCAAGCAAGCAAAAAAAAAAAAAAAAAAAAAAAAAAAAGCTGATTTACTGCACAAATCCTAGAATTTGCCAGTACTCGACCTTACAACATCAAAAAGTGGGGGGCCAACCAGCATCTGAAGAAAAATTTACTATAGCAAAATACTATACTCATCACAGTTCATTACATACTAGATAAATCGAATCTATGCTACGTACAATCCATCAGTAAATCCAACAGTTGCTTCTGTTCTTTCCTGATACACTATAACGAACAGTAAATAAGCTCAAAAGGCTTTGAAACCATACAAGGTTTGAGCAGAACAAACACGGACCTCTAAAAATGTCAGAGGTGGGATCAGGTGGTGCTATGGGGGACCCATCGACCGGTCAAACCTTGTGCTCTTCGTAATGATCGGGAAAACGGAAAAATCCGTAGATAATTCAGTGTGAAAATGGCCTAACGATTTGTATGAAAAACGTCAGTCAGCATTCGACTTAATGATAGATGACTGTATTTGTTGACAAGGTCATTGTATTGACCATAGAATTTGCGAAATGTTGACTTTAAACGAGATTGTAGACATACTTGTTTCATCATTTTTTTTTTTTGTCAATAGCTTTCCTCGTTCTAAAAGTTGTTCGTTCGTAGAGCATGCTCTTGCGTATCGAATCAACTAGGAGACATAAACTCCATATGCAGGTGATAATGGTATATTGCTACATAAATAAGAAAAGTTGAGGCCAATTTAAAATAATGTTTGCCTGCTCTCTCCCGACTCAGAATGAAAAAATTGAGTCAGTAGGTAGGTGAGAATTTTTTTTTTTCAAAGAAAATTCAAAATCAATGCTGAATTTTCAAAATCTATTTTCCGGAATGCATAAAAAATAATTGCCTCCTGGAGGTTAAAAAAGTTTGGAGTCATTTTTAGCCAGTCGGTCGGGAGAAGGCAACCAAACAATTTTTTTAAAGATGGCCTGACGATAGAAAAGTTAAAGTCATCACGTTTATCGTAAAGTTTTGTTGTTAGGTTACCATTAACGTCTTTTTCTAGTAAAATATCCAAATATGACACAGATGTGTCAGACTCTGTGGTATCTTTTATTTCAAGTTCTCTGCGATATAGCAAATCGACATATGAATGGAAGTAACTATTGTTAATTGATCAATGATAAAACGTCGTTGATACATTTAATGTCGAATTGAAGGCCACAGCAAGAGACTTCTTCTTTTCATGTAGAATTGTTAATAAATTCTGCTTCATATGAATACAAAAAGGCCTGCTAATAACGAGGCGCAATTGATACCCATGGGAATTCCGACAGATTGTTGGAAGACTTGATCTCAAAAAACTACATAGATATTGTCAATCAGAAACTCGAGCGTCTTTTTAATATCAACTTCGGAGCATTCTGTGTACAATCAGAATGTTTTTTCTAACAAAATAATTTTGTTGACCAACGACAAGGTAAGTAAATTTACGAGTTCCGTTTTTATTGAAAAAGCAACTGTTCATGAAGCCAAAAAGCCCGGAGTTTAATTATCTGGGGAATGGTTGTATAAAATGTTGAAAAGTCGTACGTTTGATGGTACTGATTTTGGTTAAAACATTAATGCCAAACAGTGTCGCTTCTGCATTTTATGTATATTTTATTTACACTAGACTAATTATTTTAATTCAATCAGAGCATCAAATAACTCAGATAAAAAGTTTTCATAAAATCAAGTTTTTATTATACACCAATTATGTCCCCGAAAACTATTTTCCTCTCCAGACTACTTTAATTGTCTGACATTTTTAAAAATATCATAAACCCCACTTTTGCTTTTATGACTTCAGAAGAAAACTTAAGGATCGCAGTTTTGAGCATTTCTTTTTAAATAAGCGGTCGTATTTGGCGAGAAATCTGAAGGAATCAGGTGTACGCACATGTACGTGTCGGCTGACCAAGCTGGACAGACTTTATGAAAGCAACGCAGATAGGAAAATTTTACATAACACTGAAAATGTCATATTTGCGATGAGTCTGCTCATCTTAACAGGTAACATATGTAGCATTTCACATGATTAATAAACAGCTATCAGATGATAGGCTATAGTTAATAAATGTAATGTCAATGGTTCGAAAGAACATGTACCACTGTGCTATCGTCGCTCTATATAAAACTGAGTTTTAAAACGACAATGAAACACAGCATTTACACAATGTTTTTTTTTTTTTTTGGTTTTGTTTTTATTTTTTATTTTTGGTTTTGGTTTTTTGTTGTTGACTTTTTATGGTCTCTGAGTCTTCTCTCCAAACACATAAAATTAGGCACCATCCTGCAAAGCTGTTGACAGTAATTATATCTTTTTTCTCAGTGATTGGCCTTCGGGTTCAGCCTTAATCTTAGTCGAATGAAACTGTGTTGAATTTCTAATTAAGGAAACATGCAACACAATTGAATTTTATTTTCTTATTCCTCTTATTCTTAGTCTTCAATTCAAGAGTTAACTGTTCTAAATTGGAAGAACTTTGATTTTGTGATGCTGTGCACCTCCTCTGAATAAAATTTTGAGGAAATACCATGCATCTAACTCTATATTTTTGTTGATCAGTTAGTTTTCCTTTAAAAACACAAAAAGTTCATTGTAAAGTACCTGTCCAAGTACGTTGCATATGACCTTTAATTGGTTTTTCAAGAAAAAAAAGATACAATTTATTACTTGTGAGGCCTTTCATGAAAATTTCCATACCAAATTACCAGCCATATATTAATTATTCGAAACAAGATGTGTTTGTGAAACACTGATGCCCCCGTATGGCAACTTATAGCAAAGGTTAAACTTTCTCAAATGCAAATCAAATAGTTGGTACCCAAAGTAAGGTCTTGTGTCGAGGAATATACCTGTGAAATATGAGAGCCCTAGGAGCAACCATTGAATAGGTATGGAAAAGGTTAAAGTTTTTTCAAAAGTAAGTCAAACATCCAGGTAAAGGTCAAATGGTCAAAATTAATGGTGCCTTAGGAAAGGCCTTCTCACAAGAAATATACTGGTGAAATATGAAAGCTGAAGCACCAATCGTTCAAAAGTTATGACCAAGGTTTAAGTTTTTCAAAAGAAGGTCAAACTCCAAGATCAAGGTCAATGGATAACAATTGTTGGTATCCAAAGGAAGGTCTTGTCACAAGGATTATATATGTTAAGTATGAAAGCCCTAGCACCAACGGTTCAATAGATATGGCCAAGGTTAAAGTTTTCCAAAAGTAGGTCAAACTCCAAGGTCAAGGTCAAAGGGTCAAAGTTGTTGGTATCCAAAGGAAGGTCTTGTCACAAGGATTACATATGTGAAGTATGAAAGCCCTACCATCAACCGTTCACAAGTTATGGCCAAGGTTAAAGTTTTTCAAAAGTAGGTCAAACTCCAAGATCAAGGTCAAAGTTGTTGGTATCCAAAGGAAGGTCTTGTCACAAGGATAACATATGTGAAGTATGGAAGCCCTAGCTGCAACGGTTCAAAAGTTATGGCCAAGGTCAAAGTTTTTCAAAAGTAGGTCAATCTCCAAGGTCAAGGTCAAAGGGTCAAAGTTGTTGGTATCCAAAGAAAGGTCTTGTCACAAGGATTACATATGTGAAGTATGAAAGCCCTTAGCACCAATTATTCAAAAGTTATGGCCAAGGTTAATGTAGGGTAAAATTTTGCAAAACTGGGTCAAACTCCAAGGTCAAGGTCAAAAGTCAAGTATGGTGGTACCCAAAGAAAGGTCTTGTCACAAGGAATACACATGTAAAATATGAAAGCCATAGCTCTAACCAATCAAAAGGTATGGGCAATGTTAAAGTTTTTGCGGACAGACAGACAGACGGACGGACAGGGCAAAAACTATATACCCCCGAATCTTCGATACGGGGGCATAAAAAGGGAGTGGGTTGATACTACGTGCCTGTGCCTGAGCACACGCAGAGAACAGAGAGTTCCGAATGTCAGCGTGTGTGAAACAAGTAAAAAGTGTAGAATTCTTCTATTATATGGATTAAATTTTTGGGTGAAAGGTATATCCACAGTCTCAAAAAGGTTTAATTGTTATAATTAATTTCAGGCGCGTAGCTACCTATACGCAAGTACGCAAGTGCGTACACATCATTTTAACCACAAAAAAAAAAAAAAAAAAAAAAAAAAAAAAAAAAAATTAAAAAAAAAAAACAACAAAATCTACGAGGGAGAGAAAATGCAATATCAACCAGCAAATATTTCAGTTTCAAATTATTTTCAAATTATCAAATTCTTTTTGTCATATTATTTTGAATAAATTATTGCGATATCATGTCTATAAAATCAAATTTGAAATCTATTATTAAATTATTACCAAATCCAAATAAATTATTCGTAAGCTTGTAAGTGTTCTATAACAGATTGACAATTTTTTAAGATATTTGTTGAGAAATTAAATTTTAATCATATCGTCGAATGGAGTGCTTTATCAAATAGTACATATTTTAAATACTATGTTTTTTTTTATAACATTTATTATACTTGGTGCTGAACATTATACTATAAAAAAAATGCAGACGATACCAATGTATCGGTAAATTATCCAGCCACAAATATACGTAGAAGTTTCCGTGGAAGTTGCACGTTGCGTTAAAAACAATATTACTAATTTTTTTTTATTTCTAAAGAAAAGCGAAGAATCATATTTCCTGCAAGAAAGTGATTGAAATATTTGGAAAAACCCTGCAGCTTCCGGGGGCTTCGTCCCCTGGGCCCCCACCAGGGAGGGCTTCACCCTGTCGTTCTCTGCGTACACTTCACTTCCATTCTGGCTACGCGCCTGAATTTGATAGTTATTTTCAATGCAACTTTATTTATTTTCCCAAAAATCATTTCGGAGCGATTCTGAATTTTCTGCTACATTGCGGGTACATGTATAAGGGAGGCATTCTAACTGTGGTGAGGGCCTGTCCCGAGCCAAAGTTGGATTTACTAGTATTCTAACTAGATCCGCCCTTGTTTCTCAGCGTCTAAATCGATAATCTCCGTCACCGAAAAAAACAACATTTTTTAAAAAGTCAATCTGTTTCCATAAATTTCAGTAAATCGCTTTTAATACTTCGTCAGCGTACATTTTTCTTTGCTTAGTTACTAAAAAGTCCGAGATTGATCACGGACGGCGTAAATAACTAGATATGCGCAGTTCAACTTCCAGTTATAATTAGCTGAAAATAGAACAAAAATAACAGTCATAACACCAGAGAAAGAACTTGATGGTGAAGGTGAGTGGTCTTCTTGATAATAGCTACCCTATCATGTAATTATGTTATATACATATGTAGTCCGCCAGCAAGTCTTGTTTTCATATTTTTAGTTTATCGTCCTCTCGTGATTTTGACGGTTTGTAATAAACAAATAGTCCTACTTTCGATTTGACGATGGCCCCAGAAACTGCGACTCCGGTTCGTGTTATTTGTTAGAAAATAAGTTGACTAGACAACTGTTGATTGTATTTGGACAGTCTATACATGTATATATAATCACAGGCCTCCGAATTTCTCTGATTTACGATGCACTTGTGTATTTATAGATAGAGGGGTATATTTATCACTCTGATCAATCATATAACGCCTTATTGATGGAAATTCAGAGGCCTGTGATAATGATATAATATGTAGCTGTCCCTGGGGCGTGCTTGACTCTGTGTGTGTGTGTGCGTTTTTATACACCACTAATCTGACAAAAAAGAATGTAGGATGATCACTGTCATACTGGTTTATGACGTGGTGACGAAAAAAAATTATTTTAAAAAGAGTTCGGGGGAAGTAGAAGGAAATACCTGTAAGCATCTATTTTAATGTTTGACCACATCCCCTCACAAAGTCAGGGGTCCTCGGTCCACCTCAGGCGCGGATCTACGATTTTTCCCAGAGTTTGTATGTTCCTCCTCCCTCCTTTCCTGCCCCCTTGGAATTTTCAGAGTTATTACTCTATAAGATATAGATAACTCGTAAATTCCAGCATCCTCGCAATGCCAGGAGTCCTGAGTCAACACGTTGCCGTGGGACCCCTTGGCCAATTTCATTCAATATTTCATGGGCTGACTTTAGCGACGTCTTTCGGAAAAAAAAATACAAATTTTGATTGTTTTTTATATCTCTCAACCAATCATATCAAGTCGTCCTATGTTTAACAACTTGTAACACGTGCGTTTGAGGTTTCAAATGAACCCTCTCTGTTTACATTATCTAACTATTTATGAAAGCTTTAATTTGTTGGTGCTTCTCAATGAGAGAAGCAAGCCCTAAAATAACGAATGAAATTGGCCAGGGGTCCCACGACAACTTGTTGACTCGGGACCCCTGGCATTGCGAGGATGACATTCCAGAGGGATGACCCCGAGCGCCCCCTTTAGATCCGCGCATGCAAGGCACAGTTTTTGTATCCACTCTGTTTCTACAAAACGTGGCTTGTGACGATGAGGACAGTACTATTGTACAAAAATACAATTCCATAAAGTGCAGTCAAAAATTTTTCAAATGTATATTGGGCTGATTTCTAGTGGTCTGTAATTATAACAATCCCTCATGATTATTTAAGATTTTAAGTTTCAAAATGAATTCTTTAATATCTGCGGGACTGTAAACTTTAACACGCATGTAGGACTTATTTTTGATGTTATGTTTACTTGTAGATTTGAAAAATGGAGAAGATTTCCAATTTACTCTTCCACCATGGTAACCATGATCATAATTCCCACGAACACCACGACTCCAATAAATACCATGGAAACCTGAAGTCCCACGACTTCGAGAGTAATCCCATTCCACCGAAAGATATTGTAACTTGTCAAGATGGCTTGCTGGACGTATGTGTTTTAAGGAAAGATACAATGGGCGTCTGCTCATATTTAAAGAAAGAGATCAACGTTTATGAGACTACGGGTACGAAAATTTTTACGCTCTCATCTTCTGATTTTCCACAGTACCTCAGTGAGACGAAAGGTGGCATCTTGTTTACAGCATTAGATGAAAATAAAGTATTCAAAGCTCCATATCCACCATTTACAAATGTTGCGGACAAGAGAGATGTTGACATGGTGCCAGATCAGAGAGATAAAAATGAATCAAACAAGAAATCTAGTAGTGCGACGAAGACCACCTCAGCTGGAAAAGATAGTAAAAGTTCAAAGAAGCAAAACAAAGGCAAGGCAAAGGAAAAGCAAGAGGAGAAGATGGAGGTTGACGAGGATGGGAAGACACCCAAAGCAGGAGGAAAAATGGATGGTGACAGGACAGCAGACAACGTATATGATATGAAAGCAGAAGCCATTTTTAGCACAGGTGAGTGGATTCCAAGGGGAATACATTGCACAAAATTGGGAGACATAATCGTCTGTCTTTGGAATGGACAGCGAGGTGAAAAATCACATGGAAAAGTCGTGAAATATAGCAATGATGGAAAAGTAAAGAAAGAAATTGACATTTGCCACCACAAACCTCTCTACGCATGCCCAATGTACGTCACAGAAAACCACCACGAGGATATTTGCGTCTCGGATTGGATGAAGAAAAGTGTTATTGCTGTCAACCGGTCGGGATCGAAAAAGTTTGAATATGAAGGGCACAAGGAGCAAAATGACGAAGAAAAGAAATTTGATCCAAGAGGTTTGGGCACGGATTCTTTCAGCAACTTTATTATCGCTGATTATTGGTATCACCGACTTCATATATTGAACGAAAGTGGCCATTTTCTAAGATTTATAATCTATGACAACATACGAGGTCCAACCGGAGTTTATGTAGACGAAAACAACATGCTTTACGTCTGTGAACTGGGTGGAAAGAGCATCAATGTGATAAAATATTTGAGATAAGGAATTGTCTCTAGTTAACTCTAATTCTTATATACATTATAATATATTATTTAGTAAGTAATGTTATTGTAGTGTATGTAGAGTGATGTGTATTTCATGTGTTTAATGTTAAACTCTACTGATTAAAATTAATTGATGGATTGATTGATTGATTAAATGTTATTTAACGTTCTATTCGAGAATTTTTCACTCATAATGAGTGATATAAAGACGTCATCATATACCGGTGAAGGATTTCAAATTTAGACCTTTACTCGACAAGCAAGATCTTTGAGCAGTGAGGATTCTTTAGTGTGACACTGAACCTCGGTTTTTAAAGTCTCATCTGAAAGACCCGTGACTCTTACTTCTAGTGCCGGGCACTTGGCGAAGAAACAGTCACTACCTATGTTTACGTCGTAGGTTTGACACGGCGCCAGGAAACGAGAATTGAACCCGGGAAGCGAGCGCCCTACCACTAGGCCATCTCGACAGGTAATTAATCGATGGAATTAGCAAGTCAAAAATACCTCATAGAATTAAACAGTCGGAATTATTCAATGAAGTTATCAAACCAGAAATGACACAAAGACCTCGATGAAAAACTTATGAAACATTATGATAATATTCATTACGTTTTGAGAAAAAAATGTTGACCTCATTGGTTGAATATGTTTCGAATTCTTTACATGAAGTATGCAGACATTATTTTGTAATTACAATACACTCAAACCTCGTTATCTCGAACTCGACGGGACCGAGATTCAACTTTGAGATATCCAAGGATTTGAGATAACAATGTTAAAAAATAAAAAGGAAAAGTCGTCGGGACTACAAATCACTTCCATATATCCCTAGGATTCGAGATATCGATGTTAAAGATATCAACGTTAAACTTTTTCGCGTCAGTCTTGATCCTTTTTTATACGTTATTTATAGTTCCTTTCCTCGTACATGTAACTACCGTTTCTTTGCATGAAATTGAAATAATATATTATCAAGAATCGAATAATTTTATTCGATAATCGGTGATATCGAAGGAAATTTAAAAGCTGACTTATCTGCTTTCCTTCTGAATTCACAAGCGACTCAAAGGAATTTTAAATAATTCATGATCGATTGGTAATTTGAAAATTCATGCCTATATGTAAAAGTTGAAGATAACAAACAGTGATCGATCTCATAAATCCAATAAACAAAATGAATCGTGAACAGGGAAAAAACGTGGACCACTGGAAACATCAGAGGTGGGATCAGGTGCCCAAGAGGACTAAGCATCCCCTGTTGATTGATTACACCCGTTGTAAGCCCTATGTAATGATCAGGTTGACAGAGTACTCCGTAATCAAATTAAGCATCCCCTGTTGACTGGTTACACCTGTTGTAAGCCCTATGTAATGATCAGGTAGACAGTACTCCGTAGTCAAATTAAGCATCCCCTGTTGACTGGTTACACCCGTTGTAAGCCCTATGTAATGATCAGGTAGACAGTACTCCGTAGTCAAATTAAGCATCCCCTGTTGACTGGTTACACTTGTTGTAAGCCCCATGTAATGATCAGGTAGACAGTACTCCGTAGTCAAATTAAGCATCCCCTGTTGACTGGTTACACCCGTTGTAAGCCCTATGTAATGATCAGGTAGACAGTACTCCGTAGTCAAATTAAGCATCCCCTGTTGACTGGTTACACCCGTTGTAAGCCCTATGTAATGATCAGGTAGACAGTACTCCGTAGTCAAATTAAGCACCCCCTGTTGACTGGTTACACCCACCGATAGCCCTATGTAATGATCAGGTAGACGGAACATTCCATAGTCAAATGTAGTATAAACTCAATTACCCAAACAATAAATAAATCTAAAACATTTGCAAAATGGAATTGATAAAAATAATTGTCGCTTAAGGGATTTCTTTTTCACTGATGCTCCTGTCTATAATCCAAAGTTTTCATGCCGAGAGAATGCTCTTTGTTGTCTTGATCTCTGCATTGTAAAGTATAATTAATTATATGAATATAGAAATCGCCTTTTATTAGTCCCCTACCGGTGAAACCGGTAGGTCCTTCTCGTCTGTCCATCTGTTTGTCGCTATGTCAGTCTGTCAACCTGTCCCATTTATTTTTCCATACTCTTTCTTCACTACTGCAAGTATTGAGCTGATTATTTGTATGTGAGTCTTTCTTGATAAGTCACACTGCATGCATGCCATTTCAACAGAAACTTCAGACTAATTTTAGAAGATTGAATTGGTCTTTAAAAACTCACATTAGTCATTAAAAAATCAGATGGTATAAATACTCATTAACGCTTTCTTTCTTATGATGTTTTTGTCATTTATCAGTAATCATTTTAAAACAAACTCGCAGAAAGCAGATTTGTACCTCTTTGCTTTATACTGTGTATTTGAAATTTGTTTGTAGAGTAACTAAAAAGAGAGATTTATTTTTGTCAAGAATCGGCCAATTTCATGTCGAGGACGAGAATTCATGATGGCTCTTGATAATTTCGATCTAATCCATTGAAAAAAAATTATATTTCATACTTAGAATTCAAATGAAAGGAACACTGTTATGCATATCGATATGAAAACAAAGCCATGTCGACATTTCTTTTAATTAAAGCGAGGTTTAAAAAAATGCACTTCAGCTTATAATAAGCTTTCAGTAAAATTAAAATTGAAAAAAAATATTAATAATAAAGAGAGGACAGGAAGTGACATATGGGATTCTTTTATAATTTCTGCAAAAATATAATAAAGGGTTTGTCTACGATTTTTTGGGACAGCCGTCATACTTTAAACGGTTTAATGCTTGCCTAAGTGATATGCCAAGACCTTTATCCACATATCAACGGTTGAGTGTAATTTTCTTTATGAAATCCATTGGAGACATACAATATTCAATCTCCTGTAATACACACAAAATCTTGTCACAGCGCGGTAGAATACACAATGGGAACTACATACACTTTCAATACACTAGGAACTCCAAAATGTATTTTTTTTAGGTTCAGTTTAGTAACAATTACCCCATGAAATTGATTAAAACTTCGGATGTACTGTACTGCAGCATTTTTGGGAAGTGGTGTAAATAAAATGTGGATCTCTCAAAGATCTTAAAAAATCCCAACTTTTTTCAAAAGTCGAACATCATAATGGTTTACCTTTTTACACTTTATACAACCATTCCTGACGATAAATCAAAAACTTTTTGATATCATAGATAACTGCTTCTTAAATAAGGAGTTTTTATATGTTGTGAAAGGTAATCTTAAAATTAATTATTTAAGATCGGTCTGATTCTACACAAAAGAAGTATTCTGAGGTTGATATTAAAAAGATACTGGAGTTCCTCATTGACAACATTTATGTATTCTTTGGAGACCAGGTCTTCCAACAACCTGTTGGAATTCCAATGGGCACTAATTGTGCTCTTTTATTAGCAGTTCTGTTTTTATATTCCTATGAAACTCAAGTTTTTCAAAAACTTCTACTTAAGAAGAAAACACTGTAATGGACTTCAACTCGACATTCAGATAAGTTTTCATTTAACAGTAGTTATATGTATTTCTATTCATATATCCACTAGATATATCCCAGTGAACTCAAAAAAAAGACGCTATAGATTCTGCTACATCTGTCTCATATCTGAATGTTTTCCTAACATAAAGACGATCAGGACAATCTAACAACTAAACTGTATGACAAAGGGGATGACTACAGCCTTTCCATCGTCTACTTCCTTATTTATGTAGTAATATTCCACTTTCACTTGCAGAGGGTGTTTATGTCTCCCAACTTATTCGATATTCAAGAGCATGCTCTGAGTACGATCAATCAATTTTTAAACCGAAACAAGCTACTGACAAATAAGTCGATGTTACAGGGATTTCAACAACCTCGTTCAAAGTCAGCATTTCGTAAATTCTATGGTCGTTATATATATATATATATATATATATATATATATATATATATATATATATATATATATATATATATATATATATATATATATATATATATATATATATATATATATATATATTTGAACTATGGCCATTTCGTCCAGTTCAATTCATTTTTAGAAGAATGTATAATTCCTGTCTGGGCTTATTATGCTATGGAGAAACATTTCGGCACGAAGATTTCTTTTGAGCTGATGCTGTGTTAGGACCTTGATCAAGGTCATTTGGGAATGTTTCATTTGAGTCTATTTATCATCAAAAATGGCCATTCTTGGGGTATTTATATTTTATGAAGCACATCTTGTTTAGCTTTATTTTTAGTTTTGATCAAAACCTATTAAAAATTAATTACAATGTATTGCTTTAAGAATTTTTCAATCAAACACATGTTCGTAATATTTCTTGCCACTCCAAGCAGTTGAATTAAATCAAAGAAATATTTGATAATCATATGAACTTACTGAATGATATTTAGCAAAAGGTTATCTCCCTTCTGGGGTAATTTGTCTTACATAAATATTTTTGTGGATAAATCCGATTGTAGAAAGATTTTCTAAAATGCATATACAAAATTATTTTTCAGACCATAATCATGTTTGGCATTTTTTTTTTCTAGATTCATTTTTTCTCAAATTATCTGCTATTGCAATGAAAGCCATATGATATTACAGTGCAAACAGTTTCAAAATTCAATTTCAATAAATATTCGATGAAATGTTCTTTGATGACGCTTAATGGGTGTTAAATGTTTGTTAAAAGTCCCCTTTTATCAACCAAGCTTTAATTTTTCCTTAAATTACAGTAACATTTATTAAAACTCCTGCAGGATAGTAGACAATTAATTATTGATAATATAGAATATGCTGTCTTTTGTTACTCAATTTTATTGCTGTGTTTTCACAGAAAGAGGAAAATTATGTAACATTTTATTAATAAAAAGCATAACACTGTACTTGCAAGCATTAATTAAATATTGTTGGCAAATAGAATTTTTCTTAAATTTTCATGCAATTGCTTGGTGTTTTTGATTCTGGACCAGAAAAGTAATCAATATTTAACAAAGCATTAAGAAACAAATAAGTTGGTTTTAATTAAGCCATATTTCTCAAATAATACTTGCATCCTTATATCAAACATTCAGATCTTTGAAAATTGCTACAGGTCCCGAAAACACAGAAAAAGATGTATGCTTTTAAATATTTTTGAAACTGTTGGCTTTCACGTTATACCAAAGATTGTCTAATAAAGATATACCATTTTTCAAAGAACTATAGAATTCATGAAAACATTCAAAAACACCTTTTCTGAAATCATTAACAAATTGATATATCATTGAATAAATCATACTGGATTCTTCAAATTAAATTAAATTTAATTTGATTGATATTATATTATTATAATATTGTATTATAATTATCATATTGTATTGAACATGAACCATGATCGGGCACACGGAAAAATCCATAGACAACTCAGAGTAAAAATAATGGCCTAACAATTTGTATGAAAAACTTCAGAGTCAACATTCGACTTAATGATATATTGTATTTGCTGACAAGATCATTGTATCGACCATAGAATTTACGAAATGTTTGACTTTCAAAGAGACTGTTGATATTCTTGTTTCACCAACTTATTTTTCAAAAGCTTGCCTCGTTTTAGAAAAGTTCGTTCGTAGAACATGCTCTTGCGCATTGAATCAACTGGAAGACATTAACTCCATTATGCAGGTGATGGTATATTGCTACATAAATAAGGGAAGTTGACAATAGAAAAGTTGAAGACATCTCGTTTATCATACAGCTTTGTTGTTAAGCTACCATTAACGGTTTTTTTCAAATAAAATATCCAAATGGACTTTTGCGAGAAATGCTGATTTTTACAGTCGCGTGACGGCTTACTTTTACACTAGGACAATATACGGAAGCTCTTTTGCGATATTTATATTAGAATTAAAAGATAATAATGAGTAATTTCAAAGCACATAATATGTTGTCTAGGAAGGGGATGGAAGCCACCCTATCTTCAACCTCCTCTCTTCCTTCATTGACCAACTCCTGCCTAGTTTTCCTTCCGGAATGTGTTTTCTTCTTTATTTAATTCCTTTAGAAAATGAGATAGAAAGGAGATACTGCCCCTCACAAAATATGTTATTCTGTCTCCCGCCATCTCTGTGTTGATTGTATAAAAAGTTAAAGTTTAAAGTTTGCTTATCCATTATCAATTCCGAAATTCCGCAAATTTCACAACGCAGTTTTAAATGTCAAAGTAAGCCGTCGATTGTAAAAGTCAGTGCTTCTCGCAAAAGTCCAATATAAAATAAATGTGTCAGACTCGGTGGTATCTTTTCCTTCGAGTTCAAAGGGATATATCGAATCAACATAGGAATGGAAGTGAATATTGTTAATTGACAAAATGTCGTCGATATATCTAAAATGTTGAATTGAGGGTAGAAGTTTTTGAATAAATTCTGCTTCATATGAATACAAAAAATAGGTCTGCTAATAAAGGGGTACAATTGGTACCCATGGAAATTCTAACAAATTGTTGGAAGATTTGATCTCCAAAAACTATACACAGATATATTGTCAATCAGAAACTCAAGCATCTTTTTAATGTTAACTTCAGAGTACTTGTGTGTACAAATTCAATCAGCAGAACAATTTTGCAAGTGACCAATGACAAGGTAAGTATATTTACGAGTTCCAATTTCGTTGAAAAAGCAGCCGTCTATGATGTCAAAAAGCCTGGACTTTAATTTATTGTGGGGAATGGTTGTATAAAGTGTAGAAAAGTCGTACGTTTTGATGTTATTGATTTTGTTAAAATTTTGTGATTTCAAATTTTCTAAAAGTTCCCTGGAGTTTTTTTTTAATTATCCACATCTGATTTACATCACTTCTCGTATATACTTCTGTACAATACTCATGAAGTTTCTCCTTCACTACTGTAAATAATTAAGTGAGGAGTAGAGAAAGACGATTGGTAGAATATTTACTGGAACCCGTTGTGTATCTTTGTTTGTAAGGATTTTTATGGCGTTTTGGAATCCAGTATATGTATGGTAATTCAAATTTATAGCTATAGCTTTAATATTTTAAAATGTCGTCTTCATCAAATGAAAAAATTCATGAAATGAAATTGAATGATAAGAGGCAAAATATAAGTAGTTTGAGAGGACAGATTTACAAATAAGCAGCATGGCAAAACCATAGAGAACTTTGTCTTTTAATTTGATACAATCAGAAATCATGAATTAAACATTTATTTATTGCAGGTGTTGTAACAATATTATGTCCTAATATGCCATTTAGGCAAGGTCTCAAGTAAGATGACGTTTACAGATTTTGAAATTTATTTAAACTGTCGATAACGTAAACGTGTTTCATTGCCACGTGTAAACGATTTTTATAGATCATACATGTAAAAAAGATACCATCTTTTAACCTATCGTGAATTGTTTAGATGAATCAATATCTGACTTTATTCTGGGGCGCTTTGATATACTTCTGTAGCTGCGTAAACTACATAAAACTCTTTAATATATTTGAAGTACTTTTATCTTATTATAATATTTTCAAAATAATACCCTCTTTAGAAAAACAACATTAAAAGATTCATTTATAGCTCTTTCAGTTTGAGACTTACCTGTTTGCTCTCACGTGAAGTGTGTTTATTTATGTTCTAGGAAGTGGAGGTACCTCTTTTATATAAACTGACCAATAGAATTACGATTATAATCTTTTTATCCTATACTGCTAAAAGTGCCCATTTTCAAAATCTTTATAATACTCAGAAATCATTCATCATTTAAAACGATCATATTCACATATCAAATATGGATTGGATGTCATTCTTTTTAATGGTTACACTGACTATTGTACATGGAGACATTATTACAGATTTTATGTCGAGGAATTCTGTTTACGATGACAAGTCCACTTTCTCTACCAATATAATGTCAACACTGAAGTTCAGAAGTTCCCGGCAATGTGCATCTTATTGTACAAGGGTTTCTGATTGTAAATCTATTCTGTTTAACTCGGAGACAAGGTTCTGTCAGTTATTATTGGTACAACTTGATTCTGTTTCAGATACTGGAACACAAAATACAATAGGCTGGATGTATTACTTTAGAAAAACTGGTATGTTACAGATTCACATGTAAACAAATCAGCTATAAATCTAAGCTATTTTACTATTTATTTTATACGATGATGAACAAAAATGCAGTATTTGTACATGGTAATCATAATTTCATTTGAAAGATATTAAAACTTTATCATTCAAAATGACAACACCTTCAGATACCTTTGATGCTTATATTACTTCACCTTTTTAATTAATATCATAAGATACTTAGTATACATGTACGTGAATATGAAAGAAAAAAATATTACTAGCATCAGAATCAAGGAAGTCATGAAATATTTGTCATTATGTTCCTTTAAATTTACATAAATAGCATTTATCATGATTTAATTTAAGGCACCCAAACAAATAAAGAAATGGCAACAACTAGTGTCGTGACTTTAACAACACTTTTCGGTACGTAAAGCCCTCACTCTGCAGGGCATCTACAAATTGTTAAAAAAATAAATCAATCACTGGCATAATTTCAAAAGGAATGAGAGTATGGGAGTTAAAAAATAAATAATATCTAGTAGTGTGATAAATGTAATTGATTTTATTCACTTATATTTGTATTGAGTGAGTTTCAATGCTTGCAGAAATCCCCATAAGATTTTCCCGTAATTTGTCACTGTGAATTTACCTGTACATCAATCTTAATTTAATTCTTAATTTGATTTAAGGCACTCAAACAACCAAAGATATAACAACGATAAGTAACACTGCAATAACAACACCTACTTAAACCCTTATTCAGGACATTTACAAATTTACAAAATATATTTTACTGTTGTAATTTTCAAACGGATAACATACATGGAGAATACGGGGGAATTAGTTAAAACAAATGTTCTTTATTGATTTTGTTCGTTATTTTCAATTTCATAAGTAAGTTCTAATACTTTTTCCGTCATTTGTTACTTTGAAATAACATCATTTTTTTTCAGACACTCAGACAACTAAAGATTTGACAACAACTAGCTTAATGGCTATAACAACACCTTTTGGTACGTAAACCATTATTCAGGACACATATATTAAATAAATCAGAAGTTACTTAGGGAATTCTTGGTGTGGAATTTGTGTTTCAAAAGCAACACAATTTTTACGTTGACGAGGAAAACAATGCTTCATGAAACTGACATTAGGGTTAAGAATTCTGTCTACGTAGAAATGAAATGCAATGTAATAAGAAAAATTCTTAGATTTGTATGAGGGAGTTGTCGTTCACAATTTTCTTTTTACTGCATTTCACTGATGGTAGAAGCATGCAGTTGTTAAACTTACTAAAGAGTAATAAAAACCATTTCTATACGCTCACTTTCTAAAGATTGTTCGGGTATATTGTTGATATGGGTGAATTTAAAAAAATGACCATATATTTATCGACCTGCACTAAAAACACAGGCAATGTGAATAAACTTCTATGTCTCAGCATATGTCTTTTGATATTTTCTTAACACCTGCTAAATATCTCATTGATATATCAAGACACAAAAAGTTATGCCCAAAAATGATGCCAAAATGTCAGAAGTGCAACACCTTTTGTGGCATTTCGAAAATTCCATATTTTGTGAAGATCTGTGAAATAGATAATGCTGGTTTATGTAGGAAATGAAGATATTCCTAATAATATTCAAACTATTGAGCTTTAAATGTAGACTGTAGCAACTTTTGTTTGACCAAGTTGTGGTAATGGCTGATGCTGAAAAAAATGTTATACCATGTCAGGAGTGCAACAGAAAAAATACAGAGTGTTGCCAAAAAATATTGATTTTAAAAATCTGTATGACAATTACATGTAAGTGAAAAAAGAATTTATTTTCAAAGTGTAAAAAAAATAACTGATATACTATTTAAATTTAAACTTGTTATATAAATCAAAAGAAGCATTAATGAGAGTCAATTATCTGTGCATATCCAATTATGTCAGGAGTGCAACAATTGATATTTTGCTCCCAAGCAAAAAAATTTTATCCGTATATGATTCTCTGATTTCTATTGTGAAAAATAAAGACACAAAGTACATCTTTACCAAATATATCTATCAGTTACAGGGTTTGTCTGTGTTTCAGATCTACATTTCTATGGTCAGGAGTGCAACACATTTTTTTAAAGATCCAAATTATATGATGAAAAACTTCTATTCATACTAATAACTAATGATCTGTTTGAATAATTTAGCACTAAATTATTGACAGTTTTGTTATTAAAATCTGTCTCTTTTTCAATTTTATCAGCCCAGTGTTTTTGTCTTTTCTTTGAATTTTTTTATGAATGTAAAAGAAAAAAAAAACATAAAAAAATTGTTAAGAAATTCAAGTAATTCCACCTCAACTTCACTGAAACAACAGTGATATTGTTTGGACATTTTACAGTCAATTCACAGAACAATTTTCATCACTATACATATATTCTAAAGGAATCACTGTCTAGTTTGTTGGGCATGCTAGGGTATCAACAATAGTTGAAAACGAACGTGAGATAATTTGCATAACGGACTTCGCCCGTTATGCATAAATTATCCCACGTTTCCAACTGTCGTTGTTGTCCTTGGTATACCCAACAAACTAGACAGTGATTCCTTATGTTTACATTTATATATGAAATAAAATTGTAAATATAAATAAAAAAAAATGCTGTCTAATAGATTTAAAATACACAAGGCACCCCGTGTTTATTTCAATAGTCCCCACCCACTGACGTCAGACACAGACAGCTTCACGAGATTGACATGCATATTAGGTTCACTTGACGAAATTTTCATTCAGGTATAATTATCAAGAAACCAACTCACCAAACTTTCAAAGAGTTATTACAGAGAAAACAATTAGAAATGTAAATATTTACATATATATTACTCAAGCAAATAATCATATTTTGAAGTCTAGAAAATATGAAAACCTTGTCGTAAATGATAAAAAATAGTAAAACGTCGAACTGATTTACAAACTTTGAATGAGTTATTGTGTGTTATAATTTTTAAAATATTGTTTCATAAAATACATGGCAGATGTCAGGTGTGCAACAAAATATGGTAAAATAGGATCACTTCAAAATCTAGTATTTTTTGTAGGAAAACTTGTAAATCAAAATTCTTTTTTTGGCTTAGATTTAAACAATTGACTTAAATCGACCAAAAAGTAATTTGTTGGGAATTTATTATATTTCTTTCATATTAAAACTTTTCAAAACAAAATTGAAAAAAATGTAAAATAACAATCAAGAAGCCAATTTTTTTCACATATATAAGAGTAGAAACTCAATTAAGATTTTGATCTAATCATTTATATCCTTGACACTATTTTGAAGCATAAAAAACTATAATTTCTTTTTAATACTAGTATGTATTTTAGAAAGTCTTTTAGGATGTAGTGATATTTTCTTTTTGTTTTAAATAAATTTTTACTAATAAAAATTCTCTAACTTTTTAAGCAATTGCCTATTCTATTGCCACTTCAGGGATTTTAACTAGAATGCATGTGCAGTATGAGGATATAAGTGAAAAATATGTTATGGTTACTTGAATTATTTAAAAAAAAATCCTTTTGATGGTCTTTTTTTTTTTAAATTAACCCATATCCTGGTGTGTCCGTCCGTCTGTCACACTATATCTTCTTCCTCAAACTACTTTTAAATTTTTAGCAGTAGCCAACTCATCCTTTGGAATATGATTGGGGGTGTCTGGAACATGTGCAAAAAGATTTTAAAAATTTTTCATTTTTACCCTGGGGGCGAAATGGGGGTCAAAAAAAGGATTTCTACAAAAACCTGGTTCGCTGAACTCATCCTACATTATTTGCAATAACCCATTTAAAATCTGGAATATGACTGGGAGTTTTCTGTAGATGTGTATTAAGGTTTTAGAATTCGATTTTCACACTGGGGCGATTTGGGGTCAATTGTGTGTTTTTTAAAAACAAAAACCTCGATTCCTGAACTCCTCTTAAATTTTTCGCAGTTTCACATTCATATTTTGGAGTAGGATAAAGAGTGTTCTGTAGATGTGCAATGCGGTTTCGGAATTTTCATTTTCAACCTAAGAGCCAAATTGGGGGTAAAACGTCATTTTTCACCAAAAGCCTGGTTCCATGAACTCCTCTCACATTTCTTGCTGTAGCTAACTCATCTATATGATCATGATTGGTTGTGTCCTGTAGATGTGCAATTTTCACCCTGTAAATGAGGATCAAAAAGTGTCGTTTTTTCTACAAAAACCTGGTTCCTTGCACTCTTAATTTTTTTTGCAGTAGCCCTTCATATTTTGGAATCCAACTGGGAGTGTCCTGTAGATGTTCAATAAACTTTCAGAATTTTCGTTTTCAAAAGGATAAAAAAAAAACCCTGTTCCCTGAACTCCCCTTACATTTTTCACAGTAGCACAGCCATAATTATTATTAAACCTGGGTGTGTCCTGTAGATGTGCGTACCTCAGTAAGTTTCGGAATTTTGATTTTCAGCCTGGGGTTGATTGGGGGTCAAAAACCTTTTTTTTTTGTAAATTTTAGAATTATTGTGGCTTCTTCCTTTGTAACTTGAATATGAAGTTGAGTATATTTATAGGCAAACACCTACCTGCGGGTTTTACTGTCTTCTGACAGCATTTAGTTTTGTACTATGCTATTCAAAAATTGATTTCCAAAAATAAGTGTACAAGCTACCTAGGGCAAATTTATCTATATTCTGTATCACTCCTATATACACGCATTTTTTAAAAACTGTCCATAAATTATTCCAGATTGCAACTTATGGCACAATTTTAATGGTCATTGGTATAAGTGGGACAACACTGAGAGAGATTTTTTGTCAGCACAGGTAAAATCTTTTAACCAGATCTAGAAAAATGTAGAAAGAAAGTTCGATT